CAACTCTCACCGCATATAAGAAAAATATCCAAACACGAGCACCCTGGCGTATAAATAAAACGACTCCATATCACCTTGCACAGCCAAACTGCATTCTCCCTTTCCATCTAGGGATTCTCCCTCACACACAGGAATCCGAACCTGTACGCAATGTCCGACGAACAGCAATATTCATCAGGTCCAGAAACAGGCAGAGACAAGCGGAAATACGAGGACCAACCGCCTCCGTCCTCCGGGGGGCGGAGGCCTACAGGATTCTCATCTCTTCCTGATTTGGCCCCTCGCTCTTACACTAGCGTTCCGCCGCCTCTTGAGGGCATCGAGATTGCCAAACAGCGTGCTCAGGAGATCGCTGCGCGCCTCACTGCTGCATCTGCAGGTCCTGACGCCAAGCGCCCTCGCGTTGAGGATGGCTCTGGTGGTTTTGATAACGAAAGAGGCTTTAGTTCCGCTCCACCTGGTATTGTATCCCAACTTTCACTCCTCTCTGCTTATGTGAACATATGCATGCGTCTCTCTGGATTATCTCTTTTGTTTAACTGATTATTTGTTCAATTTCCCGTGTATGATGAATGTTCTTATTGATAGTGTGAATTTTGATTGACTGAACCTAGGGTTTTGCATTCAAGGGAACGATTCTCACATGCTTTTTTCATTATTAGTAGTTTTGGTGCCTATCACAAACTGATCTTTTTGTCATGCTGGTTCCTTCTTATCGTGTGTATGTATCTCTCTACACGAGAGATCCCTATTCGTTTAGGTCTCTATTTGTGATTGAGAAGAGGTGAGGAACTAACTGAGTCTATTGATCTTAGAGTAAAGTATATCTAGGTTGTAGCTCGCGGACTGAATATCCTTATAGAATTTGGAGAAACAACAGTGTCTCTAATTATCTTTTTCATAAATTTATAATACTTTCACCTTTCTAAAAGTGTGTTTACAAATGAGTTTTTTTGCAAAATGTATCCAATGTCATGAGTCTTAGAGTTAGAGCGGGAACGAAGTGTTTAGAAATAGACATAGGGTTGTTGGAAGGTAGTTACAGTAGTTGTAATATACAATAGCATATATTCAACAAACGCAGGAATCTTTCAACCACTTTCTTTAAATTTTAATTGATCTCACTTTTTCTTTGCAAAAGGAATTTGATTTTGTAACATTTGATTCTCTTTCCTTTGATCAGAAATGAAACCAATGTCAAACTTGGCCCCCTCAGCAATGCCTGTATCATATGGTAATTACCATGGCACAAGCAAAAAGATTGACATTCCACAAATAAGGGTTGGTGTTCTCATTGGCAAAGCTGGAGAGACTATTAAATATCTTCAACTGCAATCTGGGGCAAAGATTCAGGTCCAACGAGATATGGATGCAGACCCTAATTCTGTAACCAGGCCTGTAGAGCTGATAGGTACCCCAGAACAAATCGCCAAGGCAGAGCGGTTGATAAATGATGTTCTTGCTGAGGTTATTTTTCCTATCTTATTCCTTTAATGTGGCATGTACATGTTGATGTTTCTTGAAATCTGTGGTTTTGACACTGCCTTATACTTGGATTGAAGACATGAATATTAAATGTATGATGTTTTAATCATGTGTACTTTCTATGGAATTGTCCTGCACAAAGTTAATTAAAGTGGCACTTTCTTTTATTTATAAGTATATAAAACTAAAGTGATTTTGTAGGCTGAAGTTGGTGGTGGTTCTGGTATTGTTTCTAGAAGGTTGACAGGACAGGCTGGAAGTGAACATTTTGAAATGAAGATTCCAAATAACAAGGTATACAAATATTTGCAATTGTAGGCTTGGTTCATTGGTTGTGGTCCAAACTGTTATTAATGTGCACCTGATCTCAGGTTGGCCTGGTAATTGGTAAAGGCGGCGAAATGATTAAAAGTATGCAAGCCAGGACTGGAGCTCGTGTACAGGTTTGTTTTGAACCTTAAAGATTAATATTTATCACAGGTTGTTGCATATTTTTGAGCTTCATATTGTGCATTATGTAGTACTCCGTGCCTTTTTTTTTTATTAAGCACTTTAAAATTAAGTTCTTTGATTTTCTTATATTTTTCTAAATCTTTTGCAGGTTATACCTCTGCATCTGCCCCCAGGTGGTACATCAACAGAACGGTCATTACATATAGATGGGACAAGTGAACAGATTAAAAATGCTAGAGTTTTGGTTGAGGAGGTCATTAGTGAGGTATGTTTGGTGTTAATTGTGGGAGGAAAGCTTGGCCTTTGTTTCAAGCTGTTTACCTACCTCCCCTTTGTAATATAATATTCCTTTGTTTTGTTATTTTTCTGTCTTGTCTGCTTCATCTATTAGTTCTTTACATTGTTGATCATGTGATCACAATGAGTCTTGATTTTTTGCTATCTGCTTACTCATTCATGGTAGTTCTCTAATACAATAGCTGTGATATGTTCTTATGGATTTTCGTTTGTTTGGAAACTTGTTTTCTCCAGAAGGGTGCCTGTTTAAATAGAGTAGAGGTATTATTTATGTCCTTAATTGCATGGGAAGTTAGTACCATTCATTTTGGTGAAGTAGTGATATATTGCTAACTCATTTATTGTTTGTATTTTGTATGTTCTCTCTATATAGGAATGCTGCCCCTTCAGATAAATTATCTTGTTGTGGTCATTAATTTGTGAACAGTCCCTAATTCTGTCTCTTTCAATATCTTCTAATTTCTAATACTTAATATTTTATTTGATTTGAGTCTATATATTGTACTTGGAGTCATGTGAATGTCAGGGTTGTGGTTGTTTCAACTTTATTTAGTATATTTCCAAATGCTCCTGCAGAAAAGTAGATGGTTTTTCCACACGTGTTCCCTTTTTCATTTCCTTTATTGTTTCTAAATTTTTTCTTGCTCGATATTTTGCCAAATATTTTTTGTAGACTTGCTTCTAGATCTCGATGCCTTAAATAGCTATTATTCACTGGATATTTTGTGTCTATAAACCTTTTGTATTCCCTTTGCCACATTTGTCAAATCTGGGGAGTTGCAGAATCTTTTGCTGCTGATCCTTTTGGTATGTACAGCATAGATGGTTGAGAAATTTGTCCTATTTGTCACATGACCAGTTGAAGAATAGTAGATCCTCTACTTTGGAAGACTTTTGAGGCTATATATCAAATACTTTTTCTGTTTTCTAGTTTCACTTTAGGTGCTGGATAACGTGGTAGCAATGCAATGGAGGTTTCTTAATCCTGGCTGTCTTAAGTCTGATTTATAAATTGTTAATTTAGTTAAATGCTCAAGTGACTGGCCTTTTGGATTGTGGCTTATTTTGCTGTCTGATGTGTGTGTCAGTTGTTTTTGATGTGACTGATACTGTCATTGAAAACTCTTTTAGGGTTAGTGTGCCTTAGCAGATGGTTGACACCAGCATTGATTTCTTCTTGTTGGTGTTATCTCAGCATTGCCTGGTATGGTTTCAAATCTCAGTTTCTGATGCAATAGAAGCATTTAATATGGAGAGATTAAAAGTTCTATTGTTGATGGGACATTATGAGGTCGTTGGATTAGATAATATATTTATTATGTTCCTTTAGGTTATTTTTGTCTTTTGTATTCTTTACGGGGGTGTTTCTTCTTCCTTTATCTTCCTCTGGTTGAGTAAATAAGGGTGACTATCAAGTTACTGTTTTCTTAAGTTTCATTTAAAATTTGAAATGAAAATTTTTTTTGCTTCATATGTTATTTGTAAATAAATCATAACAATTTTATATTTAGGTTTTAGTCTTTTCCATGTCAAAGTGTTTCTCAAGTTGCTTGTATGAATTGTGTTTTTTGTACATCTTATTTCTTAATACCATATTTTATTAGTATCATGTCGATTTAAAAATTTTGTTAACCTAATGGGTTTTATATTTAATCGACATTGTTGATTATTTGAATAAAATGTTCTTGCTGAGAAGCATGGGGGTTCACAAAATTTTGGTTTTTCTGATATTTTATTACAAGTTAACTCTCTTGGTATAGCCCACTTGTCAACGATCTTTTTAAATACATTATCCTCTTAGGCGAATTCTCATTTCTGTATTATTTCTGAAATTTCCATCTTATATCCTTCTTTTTCATTTAGAGATTTGTTAGGTTCTTTCTAATTAAGAAGACTTTACTTGCTATTTTACTCAAAATACTGATCTTGTGAGAGACATCATTCCAAATTTGATGCATCTGCTAGTTATAATGCATCAAAAGATTATTTGTTATATAAAGTATGATGTGCTCTTGACTAGTAGTTTCTTGCCATTCCATGGCAATGGCATGGAGTTCATTGTCTGCTTTTGCTTTTATATAAAAGCTTGTATAGTATTTGTGGGCCCATTTTTGTTTTTGGTACCCATTCACTTCAAATAGGGAGAGGGTGGGCTTCTGCTGCAGTAACTCGATAATCTCTCCGACTGGTACGGTATGTAGGCATTTATACCCTTCAAACTACAGTATGAGCTCCATTAATGCCAGCATAGACACATTGCTTTTTCGTGTAATTTTTCTGCTGATATCAGTACTTTGTTACTTTATATTGTTTATCTATTTATGTCTTGCTGTATGTGTTTATGTTCAGCATCATGGTTAAGTCCACTTTGGTGATTTGAGGAAATAATTTTGTGCAGAATCGTGTTAGAAATTCAGCAATGACTGGAGGTTATCCTCAACAAGGTTATCAGGCACGACCACATACAAGTTGGGGCCCCCCAGGAGCTCATCCAGTGCAGCAGCCTGGTTATGGTTATATGCAACCTGGAGCATATCCTGCCCCATTTCTGCAGTATTCTCAGCTACCTTATGCAGGCTATCCTCCTCAATCCATATCTGGTGGATATCCCTCCAATTGGGATCAGTCAGCTGTACCACCAAACCAGCAGACTACCACTGGAAGTGGTTATGATTACTACAACCAGCAGCCTTCTTCACAGCAGCAGCAGCAGCAAACTCCTGGCAGTTCTGCAGCTCCTGCAGATAATTCTGGCTACAATTACAATCAACCACAAGGTTCTAGCTATGTTCATCTGGGACAGGGTTATCCTCAGGATGGCTATGGTGGTTATCATGCACCTCCACAATCAGGTTATGGGCAGCCACCAGCGTATGATCAGCAGCAGCAAGGTTATGGTTCTGCAGCAGGCTATAGTAATATAACGAACCCCAATCAAGAGGGGCACACTCCTTCCTATAGTGCCCAAGAAGATTCTGCTCAGGCACCTCAGCCTGTTCAGCCATCTGCAATGGGTCAGCAAGGCTCAAATCCTGGAAGTTATACCACTCAGCCAGTGTATGGAATGCCTCCACCTTCCCAAATTGACCATGGTAGTCAGCCACCGGCACAGTCTGGATATGGATCCAACTATGGACCTCCACAAGGACAGAAACCTCCCCCAGTTTATGGACAGAGCCAGCAGTCACCAAGCACCCCAGGAAGCTATGGCCAGCCTGCTCCAGTGCAGCCAGGATATCCCAATTCACAGCCTCCACCATCTGGGTATGGTCAACCAGATTCAGGTCCACAACGAGCTCCACCATCCATTTATGGTGCTGCATCAGCTCAGCCAGGTTATGGACCCCCATCTTATGGTGCACCACCAACCAGCCAGCCTGGTTATGGAGCACCATACAATCCTTATGGTGGCAATTACACACAAACTCCTGCTTATTCTGCAGATGGCAGCACAGGTGGTGGAAGTCGTGGGCCTTATGAAGCAGCACCAGCCTCTCAGGGTGCTCAACAGTCTGGGGTTGCCAAAGAATCTCCAAAAAGTTGATGTCTTGCGGTGACTTGGTTCTTTAGACATTTTAATTTGGTGGCCTCTTGTTTAGTGTATTATCCCGTTAGGTATCAAGTTCTCCTTTGGTTTAAGACTACAGGTACCATGTATCATATTCGTTAGTATTTTGGGGCAGTGTCTCAGACGGTTGATTTTATATCTTATATATGTTTGTTCTTAACAATTGTTTCCCTTTTTTTCATTTTTCTTATTTTGTTCAAATGCAACAGATAAAGGAAAAAAAAAAAAGGGGAAAGAAAAGTGAAAAGGATGGGTTTTGCAGGTGTAAGAGCCGTAACCATTAGCTTGGGAAAATGGCTGCATCTGTTGATATGCCAGTTTTTCTGGCATGTTGTGAATAATGATTATGAGATAGATTCAAGTATACGAAATGGGATGGTGATTTCCTTTTAGGAATTATCTCTTTCAAGAGATTGAGTTTGAATTCACCCTCTTCCCCCAAAAAATGGGATTTGGAAGATAGATTCAAGCAAACGAATGGGATGGTGATCATTTCTGTGTTTCTTCAGCCTAGCGCACTGTTCAATTCTGCCTAATTTGAATCAATGAGTTATACTGACAACTTTCTATCTTTTCAATTGGGTTACAAAATTACTTTTATCTATCTCAAAATAATTGTTTTTCTTCTAACGCTGCTTTTTTTTTTTTTTTTGGGTACATTTTCTTCTAACACTGCTTGTTCTTCGGATTCTTTCTTTTAAGATTGTAGAGAGAAGAAATGAAACTTGTTACGATTATTAGTTGAGATTTATGTTTTTGATGTTGAATTATACAATAAAAATATAAACATTAAAATTATTAAAATACTCTAATAGAACTATTCCCCATAATATTTTAATGTAGACCTTGAAAACGAGAAAACTCTTATATTTACACTATTAATTTTGTTTTACCCTGCAGATTTTGTTAAAGATGTGTGTGCTATACTTCTTCTTCTTTTTAAAAAGATGTGTGATATTCTTTTATTTTACTAATCGGGCTTATTGTATCCTACTGCTGTGTTTATGGCATATGAAGGACATATATGGCTTCTGATTTGTGATGACATTATTTTTTGAAATGCATTCTTGGTGGTTGGTGCAGTATTCCTGGGCGCTATGAAGCTTTCTGGAAGGAGCTTGATCATGTCAAGAATATATGGAAGAAGAGGCAGGAATTGCAGGTTGAGAATGCTGACATCACTGTTCTATTTGGGCTGGAATGCTTTGCCTGGTTCTGTGCTGGTGAGATCATTGGTCGAGAATTTACATTTGCTGGTTACTATGTTTAAGTTACCATGAAGAAAAACTTCTGGAGTTCAACCAATCAAAGCTTTTATGCTTCTTTTTTACCCATGATCATCATAATATACAGTCTTTATGTTCTGCAGGAAAATCTGGAATGGTTTAGGAATAAGTCGTTTATATCTGTACTCTGCAGTCTTTTCTTTCACATTTCTCTTCACATGACTGAGGGTATTTCCCTAATAAGAAGCATTAAGTGTTCATTCTGTAACTACTGCATTCTGGCAATTTGAAGGTGTTTTTACATAGATGCTGCACACTTGGTAATGATTTCTGAGTAACTACTGTGTGTAAAGATAACAATGTCATATATGTTCATCAAGTTTATTACAAATCATCTGTGACCTGATTTCTGAGTAACTACGGTCAACAGCAAGACCTCATGAATGCTTGAAAAGAGGTCTACAAAATGTTGCATGACAAAATCCCTTCCTCTATTTGTATATGCTCAATACTGTCAATAAGAAGATGAAAATCCTGATCAACTATCTGTATTTCAAGCCAAAAAAGGGGCTGCGAATCTCTACTACAATATTTGATTGGATGGAATGGTTATTACTTGGTCAATGCATGAAAATAAGACAGGATAAAAGCACTTGACAATCCAAGAATAAGATCAGGCTAGGGTGACCTATTTTCTTTTGAATTAGGGAATAAGGTAAGGATAGCTCCTTTGGATTAGTTATTCTTACATTGTTCCCTAATTTAAAAGAAAATAAACAACCTCAATCTCACCTTGTTATTCCTACATTTTCAAGCACCCTAGCTTGCTTTGTCTTACTTTCATGCATTGACCAAGTAATAGCCATTCCATCAAACCAAACATGGCCATTAGCAGCAGCTCTCCTTCAACACCATTCAAAAGAGATGGTTCCTAAATGCAAGTACCATCTTCGGAGACAGGAGTAAAATAAATGCCAATACTGATCCAAAGAACATTTTCACAAGGTATCTCAGGGGGTCATTATCCATTTCTTCAGATGTGCCCTCTGAGTTTGTCATGGCTTTTGCCGAAGGTAGAGCTTCAATTACTGCATCTGCTAGATCTGTAATAAATGAAGACGTACAGTTTAAGGCAGGCACCCGACCCCAGTTCTTAATGCCAGATTCAAGAGCCAGTTCCTTGTATTCAATGTCAATCTCCTCCAGTGTCTCAATGTGCTCGCTCACAAAGCTGGAAATCCAGGGAAAATATTGTTAATTTTTCACTGCATTTATAGCCTACAATTTTAAAGCTAACGTATCAAACAGATTCTTAGAAGATTTAACTAATGCCTCCTTAATGTATCAGAAATGCTACCATGTAACTGAACAATTAATATTCATCTAGCCCAGAAGACCACTCATTATATAAACTGATTAACAAACACCAGAAACACTACTTCACTAATAGTGTACCTCACTGGGACTGCTAGTAAACTCTTTACTCCTCTCTGACCAAGTTCAACAAGAACTTCATCTGTGTAGGGCTTCAGCCACTGTACAGGCCCAACTCGACTCTGGAGGAAGGCACAGAAGTTGTTAAAACTGGAGGAGGTCAAGTTGTCAGATGAAAGAAAGAGAAGACTAAAATTAATTAAGTTTTCAAACCAACCTGGTAAGCAAGAGTATGATCATTGTTTATTCCTCTAGCTTTTAACTCTTGCATGATTAAGTAGATGCACTCCTCCATCTGATCTTTGTAGGGGTCGCCAGCATCCTCAACATAACTGACTGGTACACCATGGGCACTAAAGAAAACCATGACCTAGAGTTCCAAGGGGAGATAAGCAACAGTTGTTGGCAATAGGTCCCATTAAAAAAAAGGATCTAGACATATAAAATTCTAATGATTTAGTGCATCTAACCTATTTATAACTCAATGGAGAGAACAAACTGACCTCTTCAGGCTTTGGGAACCTCTCCAACTCTTTTGCAATCAAATCAGCCATGGACCTAACATAGCCCTCCCGTTGATACCAGGACTGTATTATAGCTACAGGCAGTCTTGATAGACATGCATCTTCCCTGAAAGATAATGCAGACTCAGATTGATATATCAAGGTGTGCAAGTGCAATTTCATGCAGTGAGATAGAAAACTGGGAGTAACAAAACTACCTGAATATATTCTGGAGCACACGGATGCTTGAACCAGTTGTGGAGATAGAGAACTGAGGATACAATGGCAGAACAACAAGCCTTGTTATCTTGTCCCTCTTAATCTGTCACATTTAGTGAAATTCTTTAGCAATATCTCCCATTTTGAAGACAGAGCATTCTTTATTTAACAAGTAACTCCTAAGTCAATGTGACGTAGGTTCTCTTCAACTCCACTCCTTGATCCTGTTTCTTCCCAACATTTTTGAGGAACTTAACAAAAATAGCTCAAACACCAAACCAAAAGAGAAAGGGCTAGCTCCTACACATAACATCCCTACATGCAAAATGACTGCACTAGTCAAGACAGTAAGAATTACCTGTTGAACTGCCTCTTCAGTGAATGGGTACCAATAACGCATTCCAACATATATATTCACAGGCATATTCTTCGCTTCCAAAGCCATTTTAAGAGCATGTGCCTGAAAGTAACTTAAGTCATAAATAAGCATGAAGCAGGTTCAAGCCAATGGACCAAAAGAACAGTGTACCACCTGCTCATCAGTTATTTTACGCAAAGGCGAGCCACCGCCGATAGCAGCATACCCTTCTTTACTTTTAGGAGCCCGGAGAACAGAAATCAACTTTGCCAATGGCCACTGAAGGAACCTAAACAACCTAGGGAGGCGAATGATGTCCTACATCAGAGCATAACAACAATCAACATAACACTAAACATCCTGAAAACCGCTCGAAAAACAGAAGACCAAAAAAGAGTGAGTAACATACAGGATCAGCAAACAAATTAAACAAAAAGGGTTGAACATCGTGAAGTGTTTCAGGCCCTCCAAGATTCAGAAGCAAGACTCCAATTTTATCCTCGGTGGCATGTGAATGAGATTCCAGAAAACTTTCTCCATACATAGAGACCCCGGCGGAGCAGCGTGTCTGCAGAATTGGATCCTTCCCCTTCCCAACAGCGCCGCCATGATATGATCCCCCGTGAAACCCATGACTTTTACAGCTCGATTCACCTAACCCATTAGACAAATGACATGAAACCGACGCAATTGCTTTTCTCTGAGAAGTTAACCTACAAAAAAATCAAAGAAATTAACTGAAACCTAAATGCACAAAACAAAAGACATTCATTGGAATGACTAGATCGAAACAATTATGGATTCCATAAAAGCAAATTGAATTTGCAGGATTCAACCAAAAGTCTTACCTCTGAAACCCATGATCAGATTTGCGGAGATTCGAAACAGGGAGCTTGCCACGGGAAAGAACACCGGCACAATATGTCGCCTCCATGAATTTGATTAAAGTACTGGGAAAAAAGGAGTGAAATGAGAAGGTGAAGAAGCGGAAAATGGAAAAGCAATAAGTTTTTTTAATGGTATTTGACTATTTGTGGAGTCGTGAGTGAAATTCGTATGGGGTTAGTTGAGAAGGGAGAAATAAAGAAAAGCTAACTGCGATCAAGTCTCGACGGCGGTGGCGACGGCGTGTTCAACTCGAAGGGAGACGTAACGGTGCACCAAATTAAAATGCGCAATCGGAATCAGTTGATTCCCGTAAGTTGGGACGGTGTATATGATTTTCTGAAATTTCAATTTCTTTTCCCTGGATTTTTTCGGGAAATTTCTAACGTGGTGTTTTCCGAGTGATTCTTTCTACGACGCCGTTTTCGAATCAATTATGGCTATTTATGTAATTTCACTTCACAAGCCTTAGAGCTTCATTCTTTGTGCTTCAAAAAAATCATCGCATGTATACAAAAGTACGCCCAAACTAATGTAAGAATACTTTAACTATTAAACAAAAAAAGAAAAAGGAAAAGAAAAAGAGAATCATTATATTTGTTTTTGTATATATTGTTTTAGTAATTAAGAATTTAAAATTTAAAATTGAGAATCTTAAATTTGAATATTGAAATAGATAGAAAGAAATTAAAGAAAAAGGATGACTATTTTATAATATATAACTCATAATCTAATAAATAAAAAAAATCACATGTTTCTAAGGTTTTGTTTGATAATATTTTTCAGTATTTTAATTTTTAGTTCAAGATCAAGAAAAAAAAAATTTAGTTTTTATTTTTTTATTATTTTAAAAACATATAAAATATTAATTAAAATAAATATATAGTATATAACAACACCTGTAGCTACAGGCAAATAATTTTAAATTAAGCCTAAAAAGATGAAACTTGACTAAATTGAGAGAAGGGGCAAATTAATAAAAAAAACCTTTAAATTTTAATGGTTTTCAAATTTTTTTATATAACTAAGCTCCGTCTTTGAGAGGGCATTCTGTCAGACTCGGGTGTTTCCGTGTTTGTTGTTTACATGACAAGCCACGTTTTGCATATGGTGCCGAAATTGAGCTGCTTACACGAATGGAGGGAGCCTTATGCCCTTGCATAGTTTCCTTCCAATTTAAAGTACCAAAATAGCTTATCTAGGTTAGATAATCGTTCTTTCCGTTTTGCTAAAGTTTATCGCTGAGAATCTCGAGTGGTTCATCTTTCAGGTTTTCTCTTGTCAATTGTTGGCAACTTTGGACAAAGGTGAGAAGAAGTGAGTGTCCTTAAACAAAATCTGTTTCAATAGACATTTTTGTTCGAGGAAAGAATGGAGTTGACAACCTAGCTCTAATTAAAGGATGAAGCACGGATTGTCTGCACATTTGAGTTCAAGTTCCTGTTGGCTCCAAGAAACTGCAGGAAGGGTTTCATGGTTTTGCAGCTACAAGTTTTTGGCAACATGACGGTGTATACTTGTATCCCTTTTCTCTTGAACTTTGAGTAGGTAAACTATATTTGTTTTATCAAGGAACTTGATTCTCGTACTATCAAACTAACCAACCATGCAAAACCTGAAAGAAAAGATCTCTCCTATTTCTAATCATTCACAAAATATTGGTGATGGGTCAGGTAATTTGCACCTGTTTCCATCGTTTCCTACAAGGAGCTAAGCCACCAAATTACCTAACATTTTTGCAACTAAGCATTAAGAAAATGTTTATCTTCCACCATGAAGGCCTCAAGCTAGCTAGAGAAATGGGTAAATCAAGAGGAAAACAAATTAGTTTTGTCACTGAGGTGCCACAACTACTTTGGTGTATAACATCAGAATTCAGAAATCATTTTTTTATTTTTTTCTAATTAACAGCATCTGTTTCTGAAAGGGAAACAAATAATTGCCCAAGCCCCAAGTATGAACATAATCACATCAGAAGTGTCAGGTGGAAACTATAGATATTGATGATTATCTTCAATTCTGAATTCTTTTGCTTTACTAAAAGCTGAAGACTAATAAATAATGAAATCTCATAAAATTGAAATTTCAATCAAATTGAGAATAATTATTAGTTAGAATTACTAATAAAAAAAATGCAAAGCATGTACTGCATGAGATAGAGATGGGGGCAGTGACACTGATGGCTCACATGGCAGTTGTCTACGTGTGCTTATTGTGGCAGTGGAGGTGGTGATGGTAGTGAAAAACTATGTTGACACCAGAAAATGTAAAGGTCCTATTCTCACCAGTTAGGTTACCAGAAATCTCAGTATACTCTTTAAAGGGTTCATCAATAGAAAAGTGACATAGAAAAAATCATAAATTTCTGTGTAACTTTAATGTTTGTATGTAGCTCATATAACGAGAACCACGATCTGAAGCAGGCCTTCAATATGTACGACCTGGACGGGGACGGGGTGATTACCGCCAACGAGTTGCATTCGGTGTTGAGGAAGCTTGGGGGTAAGTGCACGTTGAGTGACTGCAAGAAGATGATCAGCCAGGTCGATAATTAAGAAAGGCGACAGCAAGGTGAATTTCGAGGAGTTTAAGAAGATGGTGAACAATGCCTGAGAAGAAATTGAAAGAACACAAGAAGTAGGTTTCAAATATGCTTCAATGTGTATATAAAATTACATATGACCTTACTTTCTTTCTATTTCTAGAAATCTTCAACGTTTTTGCTGCTCCTTTAGGATTTTGACTAATTAAGTAGTAAGGAGCAGAAGCAACAGGAATTTTTAGGACTTAATTAGGAGTGATTTTTTTTTTCTTTCTTCTATTGGTAGCTCCTACAACTTCTACTATTAATTCTGATTTAGTAAATTTTCTTAGAAGGGTTGAATCCTAAATTCTTTAAAAAATAATCATAAAATTTTTTTAAAAATCAATAACCAAAAGTAACGCTTAATTAATGGTCTAATTTTTTTAATTTAATTCATATAATTATTATTATCTTTAATAGTATATTTGGATTCAC